CATTTTCACACGGTCCTCCCCGGCCCGGGGCGGGCGGCGCGAGGGCAGTGTGGCCCCTCCCGGCCCCCTAGCTCCCTCCTCCCAGGCCCCCCGGTGGAGGGGGCGCGGCCGCTGTGGCCCGAAAGTGCCTATCAGCCTGGCGGGGACACGCCGCGTGAGGCGGCGCGAATCCCCGCGCTCCCCGCGCATGTCCTCACTCCCCCCGTGCCACACTCCCTGCAACCCTCAGAGAGCTTCGTGCTTCGCCTGCTTGTAGCGTCTTACAACTTGAACCCAGTCACCCTTGCAAAGACAAACGGCCCTTAGACCCTGAAATATTCTGACCCAGAAAGTGTCCTATGTCACTGAGGGTCCTAAGGTTCTGAAGTACTCTGGGAAGGGGGCTTGTGGGTGAGTGGGAATGAGTCCAGGTATTTCTGGCCCTCGGGAGAACTCAAGTGAGGAGAGTGACCCCAACTTCGCCCTTCATTGCAGCACACAGGCTGCACCTTTCTGCGTTCGCCCAGCCCCTCTGGCCCTCACCCCAACCACCACGTCCAACAGTCCTCTGAGGACGGTGGCCACTTGTCCTACTGCCCGTCACAGTTACGCTGACCTCTCTTATGCTGGGCCCACAACCCCAGCAGAAAATGTTGCTTTCACTGACAAATCACTTTAATGCATCTCAGGGCAGCCTATAAGGGATGGGGACCTAGAGGTGAATGGTGCACCGGGGCATCAACTTCACCATCAGGTCAGGAGGCATCTAAGACCACCTGAACCCATAAACGTCATGTCTGGTCAAATGTAAATGAACCTGGCCCTCCAAGCACAACAGTCCTTACAAGGTGACACCAGTGTACAGGGCTTTCCCACAGCCCCAGGCACAGATGACTGCATCAGTCCAGGAACGAATGTAGCAACAATTCCTCCTGCAACAAAACACCATACTCAGGGACTTTAATGAGAGCGTCTCTAATTTTTAAATTTCCTCCTGTGAATACATTCAAACATACAGGTGTGTAAGGTATGTGATACACATGTATATGTGTGAATGAACGAATATATAGATGAATGAATATAGTCATTGCTTCAGTAATAGAAAAAAAGAAATGTTACAAAAAATCCCCACCTAGCTCACGCACAAGAACATGTCTTCCTGAGATCCAGCGCCCAGAGTTCCCCTGCTTCACTGCGCGCCCAGGACCTTCTCATGCACATGGCTGAGCTGAGACTGCCTCTCTAGGCCCTAGCTAGGGCTCCTGCCTCCAGGAGAATCTGAGAGAATAACTTTTCTGTGGTTGTTTTTCTTTTGACCTTTTCATCCCCAGTGAAGGCAGGCAGGTTGCATCTCTTTTTCTGTCTTTTGCCCCTCCCTCCAACCCCCTTTTGTTTGGTGCTGAGAGAGACACTCAGCTATTTCTAGTCCTAAGGGTGGTTTTTACACATTTGTAAATCTTCACTTAGTGAAATGTTCCCTCCGCCTTTGTCTTTGTGTTCTTAATGGTAGCCATAAATTACTGCCTTCTTTTCTCTCCCTTGTATCAGGCTTCATTGCTTTTGAAATGATCAAAGTTATTTTCCTTTAAAATCCAACTAGAAGCTGCCCATTGTGTGGCACAGACCTCTTTCGCTCCAGTCAAAGCATATAAATACATAAAGCTGCCCATTAAACTCTATAGGAGCCGCCTTCTAGCCCTCTTGTGCTTGGCAAAGAAATAAACATATGCTGTCCTTCCTTTCACCATTTTCCCCAAGTTTATATTTCAGTCGAATACAAATTAATAATGATAAGGCCAAGTGCCCTTTTTTTGCCTAAGAGGGTCAGTTTTTGTCATGTTTCCCGGAAAAGTTCACCACTGGCACAGATCTCAGAAAATGTACTGAATCCTATTTTGTTTGCCCTGACTTTCATACAACAGTGTTTTCAGCTGGTCGGCTCCCAGACTCCTAGGTAACCTTCCTGACACTTCAGATTAAAGTCAATATGGTTTACAACAGGGAATTTCCACAGGGGAAATCTTCATTCAGTTGTCTATGTTTTCAGTGTTCAAGTGTCAAGAGGTACTTGGTGGGCTCTGAGGTAGCTGCTGTCTGCCCTCTGTTGTCCAGCCGAGGTTCCCACAAACTACAGAAAGGTCTGTGACCCAAAGTTGAATCTGCTTCGCCCTCTCCCCTCCTCTATGGCTGAGAGTCTATCAACCAGGCCCTCTGGGAGAGGCAGCTCAGCCAGGCCCCTGTGATACAATCTTCTTACAAGGCTGAAGAAAAGCCTGAGGAAGTCAAGGCCCTGTGTGACGTACACTGAGCATGGCAAGGTTGAACTCTGCAGTCACTGGGTACCTTTCAATGCCCATCTTTTTTAACTTCTCAGCAGCTTTTGGAAACTCCTTTTGAAAGTTCTCCCCTCAACACCCCTAGGTTTTCATAACAGCACAGCAGGCAAGCTCCTAATTTCCCTCCAAACAGTCAGGAAACATTCTCTAGATCATCTTGGACCCTCCTCCTTTACCCATTCCCTGAGGATTCTACAGTAGAACACTCTAGCATGTATCTCTCCACCTAGTTTCAGTTCTGTGTAAACAGTTGCCTGTTGGTATCTCTATCTTGACCTTTTTGCACAGTCATTAGACTCAAGATGTTCAAAATGGAGTTCATCTTCTTCTTTAATTCTGCTCCTTCTCAAGTGCTCCCTCTCTTAAAGGATACCACTATTCTACCAAGATCAAGTCAGAGACCTGCCAGTGATTCCAGCTGCCATTCTCTCCTTTCCCACTGCATCCAATCATTCGTATCCAGGGCATCCCTCATGGTGCAGGGGTTTAAGTCTCAGCACTGTCATGTTCTCGCTAGCCTAGCCACTGCAGCATGAATTAATCCTGGCAGAGAGCTAATAAACTACATGGCACAACAAACCTCTCCTAGCTCCCTGCTGCCTCCCTCAGCAGCGTATTTCAGATCTGCTTGTTCTGCTCCTCACTCTCTGGTGAATCCTCTTACCCCCACACCTCTCACCTACACCCCCTTTCTTGTATAAATGAATAAGTCTTAAAAATAAAGCAAACATTATCAATTTTACCACTCATCATCTATCAAAACCATCCTCTTCCTCCAAGCAAGTTGCCTGAGCTAAGAGCCTTGTAACTTCTCACTTGGTCTCTTGCTCTTACGCTGCATTTCCTTACGGATCTACTTAAAATCTCATCCCACTTCAGTGCATCTTCACCGAATAATGCCTGAGTTAATTATACATTTCATCATACTGCTTCCAGTCTTCCCTGGACTAAAGCCAAAACTCCCCTACTATACTTACCCTGGAGAACTATTAGAGAGTGCTACTGAAGTGAAATGTACCTGCACTTTTTGTACACACCCAAGAGAAATCAGTGTTTCTATGCACCAAAAGACATGTACAAAAATGTTCTTCATAGTTGTATCCAAACTAACACAAAACTGGAATAACACAAATGTCTACCAGCTAGAGAATGCACAAACAAATTATGAGGTGTTCATTCAATGGTTTACAATAAAGTGAAGAAATTCTGATACACTCAACAACGCATTATGCTGAGTAGAGGAATCCAGGTACAAAACAGTGTTCCATAATCCCACTTCTGTTAGGCTTAAAAGCAAGCAGAATTAATTAAAATCGTGGAATAATTTTTCTAAAAAGACTTAACTCTTCATACCCGTTGGGATGTTTAAGTATAAATGTATAAAATGGCATTTCAGTATTTTTCTGTACCATTTCCTGTAATTTGTGGACTGTACCCTGCACTAGTATCTGAACTAGTTTTATTATTTTCACAATAGGGAAGTCACAGATTCTACTTAAAGCAATGTAAGGTGAAGGATAGCATGGAGCATTATAACTATGAAGGCAACTATAAGATGACTAATTAGCAAAAGAGACAAAATTCTTTGAGAACTACATGATGGCAAGGCTGTGTACTGGTTCCATGACAGACTGGCTTCTTCCCCCACCCGATGCTCCCATGCTATCTCTACCCCTCTATGCACAGATATCAGCGCTAAAAGCATTTCCTAATAAATGCCCTACACACTAAATTCCATCTCAGAGTTCACTTTCTAGAACCCCCAATCTTCAGCATAAGACAACTCCAGAGAAAAGAAAATGCGTAGAAGGACAATTCATCAGAGTTTACAACAATACATACAGCTACATAACCACAATAATGTAAACTCAGCATTGCAATTTACAATGATGTTACAAATTACGGAACTATCACATCATTTATCAGGAAGATAGGAGGGTGAGGAATGTATGAGTCCTGGAAGTGTAGAAGGAACATGAACAAAACCCTTCATTTCCATAGCAAGAAACCAAGAAATAATACCTAACAACACCAAATTGCAATTTTAGCCAGTTATGTAGACATGGGGATAAATACTAATAAATAATTAGCTTAAAAGGATGTTAAAGTGCTCCTGAGTAAAGAAGGCAAAAGGTCAAGGGATTACTATTTTTCAGAGCAAATTTTATTAAAAATATTTGACTCTTTATGAGCATATCTAACTCATAAAAACACACACACACACAAAACAAACATTAAGCTCATGACAATTGGGGATAACTTCTGGAATCTAAGACCAATATGCAGAGAAGTTGATCAGATATCCCCTAGCAGGAAGA